CACGGTCACGCCGGCAGGTCGCGCTCGGCGTCTGGCCAAGCCTGCCCGAGTCCCGCCGCGCCCGCCCCTCGGGCCACCCCGCCCGGCCCTCTCCGCTCAGCTCCCCTCGCAGTCCCCATCTCCGGCCGCTCGCTATTTTCACACCTCCCAGTGGCCCGGCCTGGGCGCCTGATTCAGTGCTTAGTAATTAATTTGGCGTTTCAGAATGGTCAGCGGGCTGGATAATGGGCGCATTCATACCCCGGGCTAATCTGAACAGAGGTGGGAAGAAAGGCTTTCACAGACAGAAAATGCCATTCGCCGAGCGCTCAAAGGGGCTGTCACTCCCAGAATAAATCGCCGCCGCGCCCGCCGGCTCCTCTGCCCATTTCCATACAGCCCCGGCCTGCGCCTCGGACCCGCCGGCCTCCGTCTGCGCGCCCGGGAATCTCTCGCCCAGGGCCTTCGACGGGAAAGTCAGGCAAGAGCTGGGCCCAGGCTCAGGCCGAGACGGCTCAGGGAAACAGGAAGCCGGGGTTAAGGACACCGGGGACAAAGAGCTAGATTAGAAAAATCAAGTGTCGAGCTAGAAGGAAGCGCAGCTAAATGAACACAAGGATGTTAAAGCCGGGGCTCTAGGATCACCGGTCTAAAACCCGTTCGCAAAAGCGTCGGAGGGTGCCCGAGGTCACACCACGAGATCCTAGGTGTCCTAAATTGCGAGTGGAATAAAAAGGTTGTAGAAACGGGACCCGGCTGGTGCAACCCCGACCAGAGGCCATACTTTATTTTTGATTCTTTGATATATCCAGCCCTTCATCCCGGGGCCCAGGAATTCACGTGGCATCTGTACTGCTTGTCACTTCTGCCTGTTTTTCCTTAAATGACTTATTAACTCAGAATAGTTTACACTCTGACCCCCCAGAATCTGACCCCCCCACAAAGGTCTACTGGTCTGAATGTTGGAGCCTTTCCCTGGTGGCGCCCCCTGTCTTCTGGTGGGATGGGATCCTGCGCTCCAGCCGCAGCCCTAATGCCCACAGCAGGGCTCTGGAGAAGGAGAGTGGGCTGAGCTGGCTTTGTTCCATCCAGAGGGAAGGTCTTGGGACGATTTTCCTGAGGACAGGGCTCCTTGGGTGTCCACCTGGCTTGGCAGATTGGCCCTGAGGTGTTGACTTCTTCAGGGTCTGAACCTGCAAAGAGAGGCTGGGAAGGGGCTATTCTGGAAAGGCCAGGGTGTGCTCAGGAGATGGAATTCCATGCCACTCACCAACTTCTGACTGGAAGTCACTCCTCCCTTCTGAGGCTCAGTTTCCTCGTTTGCAAAACAAGGGTAAAATGAGATCACATTTGGCCCCAAGTGCTGGAGGCTCTGGGTAGAAGGATCCCACACAGTCCTCACACCTCCAGCCACCAACCCTGAGAGCACACACCCCTGGCATGTTCCCAAGTCTTCACCAACACCTCCTTGGAGTGTTAGCAGCCCTGCATTTTCTCTCAGGGTGGCTCCACCCACCCCTTGCTGCAACTGGGTACTAGACTCCAACTCTCCTAGAAACTGCTAAGTGTCTCTAGGTGAGGGGGGGGAGGACAGAGTCAGAACACCGCATTAATTTATCTCCATTTTTATACATTTATGTTTTTACATTTTTTTGTTCATTTTACGGTGTACTCCAAACACCCGTGCCATAGTGAATGTGGAGGTTAGAGGACAACTTGTGGGAGTCAGTTCTCTCCACACGCGGGTCCTGACAATCAAATTTAGGCCATCAAGGTTGGTGGTGGCAAGTGTTTTTATCCACGGAGCCATATCACTGGCCTAGAACACCACATTTTAAATGAGCTTCCCCAAACACTGAAGTCAGTGGCACAAGGACCATACTACAGAAATGCAGCCCACACTGGGCTCTTCCCAGAAGACCCCTCTCTCCCAGGCTCACAGCCTCTGATTGTTCTCCAGAGCTCTTATTTGATCAGCAAAGGCAGACAAGCACACTGGTAGCATAGTGAGTGGAGCCTACTTCTAGAAACTACAGTCAAGTCCCAAGAATTTACAGCCAATCAGAGCAACGTAGGGAGCTCAGCATCCGGTTAGATGGGGCTATAGGCTGGCTGCTGCCATAGTCGGACCTCAGCTTGAACGCTGCCAGCACTGCACAGACAGCACAGTTCCCTTAGCCAGGGAAACCTGTCTATAGCAGGGACGGGGCGGCCAGCCACAGTGGGACGTGTGCCAGCAATAAGCCAGGTATGAGCTCTGACCTAGAAAAATCTAGCACCTGATCCTTTACCACACTGGGCTAGAAAGACACAGGCTAGGAGAAGGTGTGAGGTAGCAGAAAGATGGACAGAAAGAATGAGAGACAGTGAACAGGGGGAAGAAAAACCGTTAGGAGTGGAGAGGGGGCAGGGGGTGGGACAAGTCCCTATTTATGTAAGCCATTTGTAGCTGTGGATTGTAAAACCGGGCAGGATCCTCAGGAGTAATTCATAGTGTTTGGACAAGACAAACATTGTTCTGCTTTAAACAAACCTCCAGAAAGGTCAGCTTGGTTCATCCCTTTGCTGTGAGCTGCTGAGACTAACCAGATGATGAGAGAATCAGATCTTAGAGGAGGGGGCCCAGGCAGGAGCCAGTGGCCTCCTGAGCCCTTGGTATGTGGGCGATGCTACCCAGTACAAGAAAGGGGCCTTGGCTCCTGGTGGAAAACCTTGGGTCCTACTCTGGAGCCAGAGGACATTGGACGCATCGGTGCATCTCAAGGATCGTCCAGGATTGCCAAGGATCGTCCAGGTTCTAGGACAAAGTGAAGACTTGCCACGTGAGTGATGGGAAAACAGCTCCTAGAGGAAGAACCGAATTAGACCCAATAAACTCAACCCCAGATATACTACCAAACACCAGAAATTCCGTGTTCCCGACATTTAACATTTAGACATTCTACCCAGGCCCTTCTGGGTTCCCTTATCAAAGAGTGCTTCTGGTGCCCACTCTGCAAAGTTCCGTGCTAGGTGTTTAGGATACAGGAATGAGCAGCCATTCCTAGGGCTGATCATCCCAGTTCAATTTATGGTCTCCACCTCTCTCTTCCCTAAGACAATTCACAGCTGGCTTCTCCACCACCACCAGGGCCTTCCAAGCACCCAGGACCATCAACAGTGAGCCAAGTGTTCCAAAAGTGCTCGCTGCCATTATAGTGGATGATTATGACGGCATGACTTCACCACTTTGTTTACCACGTAGGCTCATTGTCTTATTAATAATATTTTATTAACAATGTGGGCCAATATTTCTGTGATGTCTACTCTCATTTCCTCATACATGATCTCCAGTTGTTCAAGCTAATTTGTATCTCTCTCAAGACAGTGGGTCCCCTGGTGGACGGTAGAAGTAGTAGTGTCTGGCTAGCTGATTCTTTACGAACTAAAATCAGTTAGTGCTTTTGACACGTCGAGGTCTTTTGAAGATGATTTTGCTTTAAAGGGTCAGGGATCAAACTTGGTGCCTTTGAGCTTGCTGGGGGATCTCGGCGACTTCTCCGAGGCTGTGACAAAGTACCCTGACAGAAATAATTTGAGGGAAAAGGTGTTTATTTTGACTCAGAGTTCATCCTAGTTTGGGGATGTCCCAGCAGCAGGAGCTGGAGGAGGCTCCTCACATGGCATCCACAGTCAAGAAGCAGAGGGAGACAAATGTCTGTGGTCAGCTCACTTTTTAAAATACAGGCCAGAGTCTTAGCCTAGGGAATGATGCCACTCACAGTGGGCGGGTCTTCCCACCTCCGTTGACATACCATGGCCAGAATCCCTTCTCCTGGGTGATTCTAGTCCTCACAACTTGACAGTTGGGATTAATCATCATTCTAGGCCTGAACTTTATCACCTAGCTTTACCCCCAGCCTCTTGATAACCACAGAATGAAGGGAAGAAGAGGGGGAGGGAGGAAGAGAGGGTTTCTATCCACATTTTTTCACATGAGGAAATCTGTGCCCAGGGAGGTGAAGTGCTTTGCCCAGAATCACAGGATGTTAATGCAGGTGCGCAATCGTGGGTCTGCTGGCCACCCAAGCAGCTCCCCGTGAGACCCCATAAGCCAGGTGCTCGGCCTCAGGCGTGGCAGTGCCCCCCGAGGCTGAGCTGTATACATCAGCTGTATGTAGTCTCTGGCATCGTTCTGAGGCTGGCATGGTGGCCCTCCTAACTGATGTCAGCTTCTGAGCCTCCAAATTCCTAGTTTCCCTTGACACCTTGTTCCGGTTGAAATGTCCATGCGCTTACCCAATCTGTTTGGAATCAGTGATCCGTGTCTGTTCTCCCATGCTGCCTCTTGGAGTCAGGTCTCTAGCTTTGCTCCATGTGACATATAAACCAGTAACAGCTCATTTTTACTGACGTTTGGGGGAAAGTAAGCTGTTCCATATAATTGAATTTTGTGGTCAACAGAAGCTCACACCTTTAAGCATAGAAACTTTCTAATGTCATCATTTTCCAGTTTAAAAGAACTATTTCCCCCCCCCCATCAAAACCATGACCCTCCCCCACCTAAATCAGCAGAGTAGAATGGAGCAGGTGTTCTCTGGGTGGGGTTGGATGGGCGACCCACACGCCATTCAGTGACTCACAGCCATCTCTTGAAACATCCCTGGTGAGGCGGTTTTAGTCTCCATTGCCTTCGTTTCCTTCTCTGCAGTCTGAGAGGGTGGGGACGGGGGCACGAGATGAGGCACTAAGGCCTGCCCTGGACCTTTACACAGCAACGCCTTTGGGAATTCTGACCTGCACCCTCAGGCTGGCTGGGATAGATTCTTCACTTCACTCGGAGCATCACCAATCCAGCAGTTACTAGTCCGCCACCAGCCTCATCTGGGAGTTTCCGGCCCCGTGGAAGAATGGAAGATTTCTGACCTCAGGTTATAAACACCTCTGAATGAAGAACTCTCAAGGTCCCTGTTGACCAGAGTTCCCTCACAGCAATGGTTCTCCCCGTTCCTAATGCCGCTACCCTTTCAGCCCCTCCCGTTGCAGTGACTCCCCAAAGGGGTGGTGACCCACAGGTTGAGAACCACTGCCTTAGGAGGTTCTTTCTAATACCAAATTCATTCCCTTGGGACTGGGTTCTGGATCATGAAAGATGCTTCCAACTGGACTCTAGCCAGGAGATTTACCATACCGAAATATAACCAACACCACTTCCAAAGCTCAGAACTCAGCATTGTGAGGAGGTGAGGAGCCGGAAGGCCTGAGGGTGCTGCCTGCAACAAGAGGCAAAGGAGAACTTGAGAACCTTGTTAAGAGCTGAGTGTTACTGGTCCCTCTTTGTTTCTTATAGTCACCACAAATCTTGTTTTTTTAATGGGGGGGGTGCTTGTGTCACCTTGGTCTAAGTTTCAAGTGGATGCGAGTGGGGTGGAAGTGGCTTCTCTAGGGGCAATTAATAAATATAAGTAGCGATGTAGTATGCACGTGGATGTGTGTGGGAGGGACACACTTGATATTTAGAGGCCATGGGTCAGAAACATGGGTAGAGGGCAGGACCATGCTGCTCAGGGAGGAATTATGCCAACAGCACCTTGGTGGAGTCTGTTACTGAGGAGTTTGTATCCAGTCTGGAAGGAATAGATACTTTCCCAGTCTTAGCTAATAACCTTCCATTCTCTTCCAAATTCTTTCTACTCAGATACACCTGCTGTGTTCTGTGTCCACCCACACAGAATGTTTTTCTAGGCATCCTCTCTGAGGTGACCTCACTCCAGAGTCCTCCCTAAGCTAGCAAGTTTGAGTCAGGGCATCCTCTTGTTCCTTCCGTTATAAATGTTAATGAGTGGAATCCCAGCTCAGGGGCCCCCCACAAGTTTCTCTACCCGGAGATCCATCCTTTCATTTACACCCTTTGTTTCCTTCCTCAGGGAGGATCTTCCATCCATGACAAAGCCTCCCCCACTGTGACCCAGTTTCTTTATTTTAGGAGTACTTAGGGTGGGGTCTTGTCAAAAGTGTTTTTGCAAATGAAAATAAATTACATCTGCTGGATTCTCTTATCCACATGCATTTTCCCTCCCTCAAAGAAGCCCCGGGAGATGAAAGGACCGGGTGGATTTGGGGTTTGTACCGATGGCCACGCACAACTCAACTCAGGAATCCTCAACCAAGAAGCCTGCACCAGGGGAGGCCTGACCTGAGTAAAGGAGAAATCTCTAGAAACCCTGAACATCGGACAGGCCTGTTCCTTATGTTCTAACTTCCTTTCCAGAACCCTCCAGGCACCTGCCAGTCCCTTGAGCAGTGCCCCATGCAGCCAGTCTGATGAGCCAGACTCTAGATGGCTCGAAATGAAAAAACACCTCCAATTCTTCCAGGCTGAGAGATCTGGCAAGTAGATCTGAGGATTGTAATTATTAAAAACAAAACAGGCTGGGGCTTGGGAGGTAGCTCAGTGGTACAGAACTATCCTAGCATGTGTGAGTTCCTACATTAGATCTACACACACACACACACACACACACACACACACCAAACAAAAGCCCATCACATATGGAACACCCACTCTTTTCAAATACCTATAGCAGACTTATAAAATGGGTGTGGTTACTTCCATTTCATAATGGTTAAAGTGATTCTCCAATGAGTAGAGGAACTTGTTTAAAGTCACACCAAGTGCAAGTGGTGAACAGGAATCAAGGCTTAGCCTAAGCCATCTTCTTTCTATTTCTCATGGGGACATGATCAATTGGGGGAGGCCAGATACCTGTATGTCACCTCTGGTTAAAGTTTTTATTCCACGATGGGGTCCTCGGAACCAAGTCCTGGAGGTCTTAACTGTAGTGGAGAGGTGCTCAGAAGTGCAGCGGATCCAGGCCACAGTTTACATGCTGGCAGACTTCAAGCTCCTCCCTTTTCTCCAAGGACTGAGCCTTGCCATGCTGCCCTGTTCGCAGGTGCTAAGAGCTCTGAACTCTGGCATCAGACTTTTTAAAAAGTTAGCATTTACTGGTTTTCTTCTATGTTTATGAGGGTTTTGCTTGCATGTCTATTGACGTACCCTGTTGTGTGTCTGGTGCTCATGGAGTTCAGGAGAGGGAGTTGGCTCTGCTATCATGTGGGTGCTGGAAATGGAATCTGGGTTCTTTGGACGAATATCAAGTGCTTTTAACCACCGACTTCTCTCCAGTCCTCCATAAAGCTATTTTAACTCCAACATCTGTTCTTCTTACCAGCGATGGGTTAACGATCTCCCTGTAAAATAGAAATACACACTCCTAACTCAGTCTTATGAAGGTGACAAGCTCGTGACTGCTAGCTGGATCACAAGAGGACTGTGCATCCAGCAGGCACAGCACATGCTCGGTTTCAAAAGTAAAACTCAGACTGGCAGTAGTGGCACATACCTGTCATCCCAGCACTTGGAAGGCTGAGGCAGGAGGATCTCAAGTTCAAGGCCAGCCTGAGCTATATGGTGAGACCTCGTCTCAAAAAAACCAAAGCAGTAAGACCTGTGTGCTAAGATGTATAGCTCAGTGGTAGAGCAGTTACTTAGCATGAGGAAGACCCTGGGTCCTATCTCAAACGCTGAAAGAAAAACTAAAATAAATGGATAAATACATAGGTCAGAGCTCTTGGTTGTTTATAAGATGGAGGCCACCCTTCTCACTTCCCTCAGGTCTGAACTGTCTTCTTGTCCTCTTCCTCCCAAGCTCTGGCTCTGGCCTCTGGGCCCCAACTCTCGGGTACACCCTCCTCTGAATCTTCGTCCTCCTCATTGATTGCTCTTGTCACCCCTTGCTGCCACACAGCCCACCCTCCCAGGGGCTGCCACCCGCCCTGCAATGCTCTTTCTGCTCCATACTGCGTATGCCTGATGCACAAGGCAGGACCTGCTACCCTCTCCAGGTCACCCACATCTCTTCCATCTCCATTTATTTATTTATTTATATTTATTCATGGTATCCATAAAGTTTGATTCAGACACAGTCATACCCATTAGTTTCTATTCTACCTATATGATTGCTTTTGTATGACAAGTCAACACATCGACGAATAATGGCAATGAACCATCTGGCCTGAAAAGTATAAAGCAATTATTATACAGCCCTTTAAAATAAAAGTGTATTGGCAATAGATGTTAAATTAAAGTAGAATAAAAATAAAGTGTTCCAAGAAATTATCTTAAAATGAGTAATGGTCTATATTTAATAGATATTATTGTACTCCTTCCAGCTTTACTAAAGCAACAGCAGGAACAAACCCCAAAGACTTCTCTTTCTTTCAGACTAGCATCACAAAGCTGCTTTGCTTCCTACAGCTCCCCTCAGCCCTCTAGAGCTGTTCCCCTCCTTCCCTGCTCTGAGACACTGAGATGGATCAGACTCTCTCCCTCCACCTGATGCCTGGAGAGAGTCAACATCAGATAACAACACAAACAACACCTTGGCCTCCTGTCATGAAGCCATTGTTCCTTTCAGGGACCTCTCCCCCTCCACTGGTCCTCCTGGGCCTTGTCACCCACCTCCACCTGATCTCTGGCATCCAGTTTGAGGTCACAGCCTCCTCAGTAACCTTTCACCATAATTCTTCGGTCTTCCCGAATTCTCTCATTAGCTCTGTCCAGAAGACGTTTCAGAGAGGATGGAAATCGCACCTTAGCAGCACTGTCCAAAGCAGGGGTAACCAAGCAGTTGCTTTCAATGTCATTGATTTGAACTGCTTGATGCTGCAATAGAAATAACCACATATGGTTCCTGGTCAAATTATTGTACAGCACAGCTGTCTTTAGAGGCTTTACAGGGCTGGAGAGGTTCTGCATTTACATGGGTGTCCCACGACAGTGGGCACTACTACATACTGTCTTCCTTGCAAATGATCTTCAAGCTCAGTCTGGCCTTTATTCTTCCCAGCAAGCATTGTGTGCAGCTTTGGTGCCCTTAGCAGCCCTTCCCCCACTCTCAGCTGATCTGCCACTTCCTATTTCATTGAAACCTGGGACGCTTTCAGGCCACCTGGCTGATCACATTGCCACCTCTCTCTCTCTTGCCGGCTCCTTCCTATCACAGAAGGCACGTTCAAATAGCCTTATCTTACAAACAATGGAAAGCCGGGGCCTGCCCTCCTCGTGTCACCTTCCTGCTAGGCCCTGCTCTCTGTCCTACCGCTTGTCAGCACACTTACTGGAAGCTGTCTGTACTTGTTATCTCTCCCTTCTCACCTCCCTTTCACTCCACAACCTAAGGCAGACTGGCTTGTGTCCCCCACCACTCTAGGCCAGGGCCTGTCAAGGTCACCAATGGCTTTCGCCCTTCAGATCTTATCTTGACCTCAAAGGCCTGTGGCGGCGGTGGTGGTACGTTGCCCCTCTTCCTTTGAAACACTCTTGCTCATCAGTTGTTAGGGCACCTGAGTCCCTGGATTCTTCTTTTCAGACTCCTCCTAAGTTATCGCCCCCCCCCCTTGCCCAGCATGCTTCGTCCTTGAGCTTTGTAGGTACTACGGAGGGCTGTGAGCCCAGAATGGTGGCTCCTCCCTCCTAATGCATTCCTTGCAGAAACACCTGGGAATTTGCTTTCTCACCCAAGAGCTCTACTGTTGTTTTGAACTCATTTGTACCCTGGATCCTGCTGTTCAGAGACCGACATGCCTTCATGGGGTGTATTTATAACCCCCACTTTGAGAAGAAACACTTGGACATCTGTTTTGTTCATTTGTCTCCTCAGAAGGCAGCATGCTTCAGGAAGGGGCACAGGCAACTGTAAAGTACATTCAGTGGGAGAGGCTGCAGGCTGGTCACAAACCCAAGCTCCGTAAACATCACCAGAAGAGAAAAAATTGGGACCAATTTGCCTAAAAGAGAGAGAGAGAAAAAAAAAGAGGCTCATTTCCAAACTCCAAAAAGACAGACAGGTGAGACTTGGGTCACTGGGCAGGGTCAAAGTAGACCAAATGTAAAAGTGGCAAAAAGATGGATTTTGAATGGAGGTAGAGAAGAAGGTCTGGCATATTCCAGAAGAGTATCCTGCCTACCAGGAAAACTAACGGAGATCAAGTTAAACCTTAAGTGACCATAATAAAAGTGGAACGTGCTGTCTCTCCAGTCCCGGCTGAAGCCCATTGGTCTAAACTCAGCTAGCAGTGCAGAAAAACCATAAGCCATTAAGCCAGGCAGGGCACTTTTAAACTCGCCGTCTCTCAAGCTTGTCACATAAGCTCCACTGAAAGCCCTCAGCAGAAGCAGCATGGCAAACAGTCTGCAGTCCTGTCCTTTAGCTACTCCAAGATGTGCTGAGAGGTCAGGGAGGCTGAGCACCCCAATTTGTCTCCTTCAGACCCCTCCTTTGACAGGATGTGTTTTCCTGACTTGTTCTGCTGTGATGCCCTCCTCTTATATGGAGGGCTGATCACAGTGCCTGCCCGGTGGAACTAACTCACTGTTGTGACTAATATGGGGATGCTTGCTCGTGACCTCACGCTGTGTCCTCTTTATGAGGCCCCCCCAGGAGAAATCCCTGTCTGATTTTTAGTACCAAGAAGAGTTGTAATTCTCTTGAGCAATAGGTCTGTTTTAATCTCATGGACACTGGGAATTGTGTAAGGGACATGGTCTCCTTTTCATTTTGGCTGCGGGAAAGCTTAGGAACAAATTGGTTGCCCACCCACAGGAGGCGAATAGACCATCCCAGGGTGCTTTTTGGCATTATTCCCATGTCTACTTTGTCTTTCCTTTGCCTTTTTCCTTCTTAGTTTTCCTTCCTATTGTATTATAGAAAATTGAGACCGTATCAGCAAAGATAAGTCAAAACCACTGGCCATTTCCCTTTTAGGACATAACTACTGCTCACAATGTATTCTTATGGACACGTTTTAAAAGTAGAAATGACACTATATTATGCCTGTTTTTCCAATTTTCTTTTCCAGTGTCATGAAATTGTTTCCAAATAATTAAATCTTCTTGAAACAATTAAAATTTTCTGTGTAGCTTCAGCAATTTAATACTGATACCTCCTATCATTTCTTTGTCTACTACATGGCAGGCTTTCTGTATATGTATTGATATATTCACCTAGTTGTAGTATTAACAAGTAGATCAAGGGCCTTCTGCATGCTAGGCAAGCACTCTACCAGCAAGTTATATGTGCAGCCCTGTTTTTAGGTGTATTTACATCGGCATATATGTGAGAGTTTGTGTGTTATGTAATTACACTATGTATGCACATGTATCACAAATTGTAATATTCCTGTGTGTCAACTTATTTGATGCTCATGTTCCTATGAGATCGAGATATTGGTACTGTCCCTTTATAGGTGAGGCAGCCAAGACTGAGAAAGATACAAAGACTTTTCAGGGCAACAAAGCAGAAGCAGTAGTCGGACCCTGGCACTCTGGCTTCAAACTGTGTTCTCCCAATGCTGTCACCTTCCAGCACACCACTGAGATTTCAAAGTCCACTAGGGTTAGGCATTTCTTTTGTTCCCTTTCACTTCATTCCGAATTTATATTATTTTGCCAAGTTTTAAGTACCCTTGTAAGTCACCTACAGTCCTTTTTACCACAAGGCAAGGCATAAATAAACAGTACAAAGTGGTAAACGACATAAGCAGGCAAAGCTAAACACAACCCCAGAGACTTGGGTGAGTCCAGGCTGTCCCCACAATGACATGGATTTATTTCCTTGGGCTGTGGCTAGCTCCCCTCCCTGGAAGATCTGGCTTGGGTGGCCAGCTCTCAGGAAGACTAGGAGGCCTTCGTCCAAGGAAAATGAGCTGGGCCAGCCCAGCCCTGAGGTGCTTTCTTAGATTCTCAGAGTCTGTAACAGCAACAGTAACAAAATGAAGCAGGCAACAGAGTTAAGGAATGGAGCAAGAACGCCTTGGCCAGAACCAGGGTCAGAGCTTTTCATCCAGGTCTGTTACCAGATCACACATTTTCAAAGAGAAATAGCAGTAACCATGTTTCAAAGGCACAGTCCTGTAGATTCTCACCCCTGAACTCTTTGGCCATGGCTGCAAGACGGTCAAAGGTTACCATTCTTGTCCACAGTCCTTTTGTTAAGGTGACAGAGACTAAGGCCAGAGGCTGGGTGTCCCGAGGACACCTCATGAGACTGTAATTGGGTGAGATTATTCATTTGACAAAAGTGAAGAGAAAGCTTGGGATTCTTTGAGATGTATTGCCCAGGCTGGCCTTGAACCCCGGCTTAAGTAATCCTCAATCCTCAGCCTCCAAGGTAGCTGAAATGACTATCCATAAGAGAACACCACCGTCTCAGGCTATGAGCCCAGGTTACTGTGATCCAGATTTGATTTTTTACTAGCCTGGAGACTTGGGACAAGTTATCCCCAACCCCTGAGACCTCACTGTCTTCAGCTGAATAATGGAGTCAATTGTCATTCTAAAAACCTATTATGGGAATCTCCATAGGGACACCTTAAAAAACAGCAGCAAGGAAGTGACAAGAAGTCAGCTACAGGGGACCTCGGGAGGACTGACAGACCTGAGTAGGCCACCCTTCAGGTGCGTCGTAGCTTCTTGGCCTTTAGCCTCGAGTCCACCACAGCTTTCAGGCCTGAAAGGAAATTTCGTTCTTTACAGACGGGCCTAAGGCAGTGCCAACTCTGGGAAGTTTAGGCACTGCCCCTAGTCGCCTTACCCTAGGGCCTCGGGGCAGGAGTAAAGAGCAGGTAGAGTTCACGTCCCCTTCCTGTTCCCCTTCCGTACACCTCTGGGGTTGAGTGGCCATAGGGGCACGGCCCTGTGCGCGGTGCCACCCGGGCCACCAGGCTGGGTTAGAGGAAGGCCGGACCTCGGCGCAGAAAAGAAAACAAACACAGATGTGTTTGGCTGGGACTTGGAGGGAGAAAGCCGTCCTCGCCCCCACCCCACCCCCACAGGGTGCGCGCGGGCCCTGCCCCCTCTCCGGGGTTTCCCCGGGCGCTCCTCTCGCTTTCTCTTTGTCTCTGCTGTTCTTTCTCGGGCTCCCAGGTTCCCACCCGCTCGCTCTCGCCCTCTGGAGCATCCCAGGCCGGTTGGCTTTAACTTTCTTCTTTCCCGGGGTTAAAACTTTGCTCGCGAGCGGGCGGCAGCTTGCA